CCCCCCCCCATTTATAACATTATTAACATCTCACAATTTTTTCATTATTGTTCTTGTTCTTCCGAGGACTTTCCAAATTTCGACCCAAAATAATATGAAAATCCCCCGTCAATGATTGGCTGTGTAGTAAACTATAATCTTGATGATATGACCATTGAAAACAACATTGTGACACATTAACAATTTCTGACAGAAATGTGTCATTTCAGAACCACATCAACTTTGGCCCCCATTCATTCAATTTTTAAGTGCTGTGCACTTTTCAATTTTTGTGTTGATATTATTGGCGTCTGTCCGGGGGGGGGGTATAGATATATGTAAAATCGTCAGTATCCCAGTTCCGGCATGTTAAAATTAATCAAAATTGAACAGGCAGATACTGTTGTTGGTTTTAAATAAACGAGTTACGGAATAATTCTCAAGCTGTCAACTTTTAACACATGTTATTGAAAGTTTTTGGAAATACCGACACGGCATATGTGGTAAATAAACATGTTGTATTAACAACTTCTTTGGATGTTAACACATTTCTGTGCACTCCGATTAATAACTGACATTCGTGTCTTTGTCCATGAAAACAAAACTTACCTTATTTGTAGGTATAGATCGCAATCTCTTGAAAATTGTTTGGATATCTGACTTCGTCGGTTGATCTGCCATTTTGGTGACGTTTTCTTATGAGTCACATGATCGCTAAAGTATGAGGAACGGAGTCGACGTTTTGCCTAGATTTCATTGGTTGACGAGTAACTACTATAAACAATATGGCGGCATTTTGCATCATGCCATACGGAAAAGTCACAACACTGCTAGATAGGTGAGTGTATCCACAGGTGTCGTTGGGTCAGAACATGCGTCCACGGAGTAAATATCATGTTAAAATAACTAGTCAGATAGATATACTGCAAGTTGCAATGTCTCCTTCTTTTAACCATGCAATCAACATCATTCTTGTTGTCGCAAGAATAGCACTACAGTGCTAATGTTATTATGTTACATGTATATGCGACGTTAAATAAAGCTTCTTGAATCTTGAGTTGATGAATGATGGCCTTGCTGGTATGATTTACCTGTTATGTGCATGCCTCTGCTGCACACTTGGGACGGCCAATTGTGTTCCTGCGCCATATGTAATTAGTCTTGATGTTCATGCCAACCATTTTATCACTTTTGCACTTTAATTTTAACCATGTCTTGTGATACCTGATGATGCTTCTATGCTTTTACTTCCTTTCATTTTTTGCTTAGTGCTCTTATTGACACACGTCCCTGCAGGTAGAGCGTAAGAATTGTACCTGCTGCCCCAATTGCATGATCGTAAGAGGCGACTTAATTTGGGACCTTATCTTTTCTCTCCTTTCTAAATAACTTTCTTCTTCCTAATGTCTCCCTTCACAATGCCTCACTTTTGGCCATTTGTTGAGCGTTCGCCCCTGTGAGGAAGGCTTTGGTTTCTGTCCCCTGGCCGAGACATACCAAAGTCTTTAAAAATGGTAGTTTCTACTCCAACTTAATGCTCAGCAAATTAGGAGTGGGACGACTGATTCGCCCGTTGTCAGTATAATGTGACCGGGTGAGGCGTCCTGCTCAGGGTGTCTTCGGCAGTATGTCTCAGTGAGGTAGCACTATAAAGTCGGCATCAGTTCCGCGCTATCACAAGGAGAGGAACACGAACATATCGCAGCCTCCCAAAATACACACACATACACTACAAGCATGCATCTTGCACACAGGGGAGGCCATCCTTAAATGACCTTAGCTGTTAATAGGACGTTAAACAAAATCAAACAAACAAACAAACAAACAAATCTTATTTACACAATGTATGACTTACTCAATGCTTGTCAAATCATGGTTTTAATTTATACTACAGAGTATATTAGCGGATTTAACTTGTGCCATATTGGCATTTGTGTATATACTTAACCATTTTTTATGGTTTCTTAGTTTGTGAGCATGTGGCGTGATTTTTTGTGCAGCATCAGTTTTAATATAGCTTTTTATAATAATGATAATATTTATTCAGTAAAAGGCAAATAATACACATATATCACATTTTGCAGATTGGACATATATATATATATATATATTATCACAGAATGAGATCTTATTTTTACAAGTTATTTATGCCATAGAACTAGTAATCAGTCAGGTGTTAAAACTGGATTGGATTAGATTAATTTAGGCCTTTACCTGGGATGACCCATAAAGCCACGCTGTGACTTAATTCCAGTGGGGTCCCTTATATCTAAATAAATCAATTCAATTCATAAAATAGTAACATAATTATATAGTATATATTGATAATTTGATGAGACTGTAAGACAGTTCTTTTATAAAAAAAAAAATAGATATAAAAATGTTACATGTGCCATAGGCTATCATCAATAAAATAATGCTGGTAATTGAATGATATAAAATATGAAGACATTAACAATATATTGGAATTTTAACAATCAAAGATATATAGTATTAACTTAAAATGTTACCTGCCAAAGAGCTGGTGGTTGGGCCAATCCCTACCGACCAAACTCTCGGACATTAACGTACATTAATATAATTGATTGACATGTACTGGTATATAACTTATACTAATAAAAATCTGACACAACATAAAAAATGGAATGTAAATAGGATTTTAGTCAAATGTGTAATGATTTTGAATAATTCAATTGACAAATTTTAACATGTTTTATTTAAATTAATTGCTACTTGCAGAAGAGGGCTGGTGGTTTGGCCAATCCCTACCGACGAAACTCTCAGACTGCATATAAAGTAACATATTGATTTTGTTGATCCCACCTAACTTTCTTGCATCAAAAACAACATTTCTAGTTGACGTAAAAATGCTTAGTACCGTTGGAAAGATGGATAATTTTTCTTTTGAAAACCTCCTATATGCACGTAAAATGTATTCTACTTCCGCGGACGTGATCTTCGTTTCCTCCAAAAACACACATCATTTCAGAGTTTCAAAGTTTTTCAAAGTCATATAGGGCCACGTTTTTTGTTCATGAAGTTGACGTCAGCCACATGCTGAGACATGCAGTGTTGGTTGGCTGGTAATTTTAGCTAATCACACCCCAGCGGTCTCGGCACGTGGCTGACGTCAACCTCATGAATATACAAATAAACTGCAATTTGCAGACTTTACCTGCATTTTGACGATCCATGACCCTCATTTCATAGCTGCAAACTTGGCAGTTATGCCATTCTGATCAAAATTGATTTATTTTGAGCAAATTTAAGTGTTGAGTTGAACTAGATGAAATTTGTGTATATATGATATTTACCTAGGTAGTAGACAAATATATAGGCCTCACATATTTGAGTAATTCTCTTGGCTCATCTGCAACATTCACCAAAATTAGTAATGATGCTTTGAGATGCTAAGTACAATGAGACAGTCTGTTTTTCATCACAGGTGTGTGCAATGTCTGGTGAGTAATCTAGCGACCTCGATAGAAGGTTTGGAGACATTGCCGGGCCATCTCAAGGACAAATGTGTTTATTTAATGTCAAAAAGAGGCCTAATCACAGACACAAACATATCAAAGGTTTGTATTCATTTTCACCAAATTCCTTGATCTCTAGGACTTGAAATAAAAAACCAAAATTGTTAGAACTGAAATATTGAATGTTGTTGACTATCAAGTAAATTGAAAGATGTTCATTTCTTGAATTGAATATAAACAGGCTACTTGGATTTTGGTAAAAAATATCATGCCAGTAGCACTTGGATAATACTTCAGATTTGTTTCCAGTTCTTTAAGAACAGGTGAAGACTATTTTGTAAATTTTGACTGAACATGAACTTAATGATGCTTAGCAGCATCATAGTAAGTCGAGTGTGACAAATGATTCTTCGCAAATTTAAGAGTGAGCAAGGCTAGTTATTCATTATTATTGGTTATTATAGCTATCTCATCCTTGGTTGTCTTAAAAGATCACTTAGTAATAAAAAATTAATCAAATCAAGAGAGAATAACATGATGACCAACAATCCCTTAGTTATTGTTTGAGGACCTGAATTTCTACTGTCCTGTATTAGTTCATGAACAGATATTTTTTTCTGCAGGTGTTACATGAGAAACTGAAGGTGTTGGACCTGAGCGAATGTGAAGTTTCAGATGCTGGGTTGCAGCATCTCTCAAAATGTTTACAGTTGAAAAAAATAGATCTCAACTCAGCAAAATTATCCCGCGGCAATATTTCATCCGAAGGTAATTAAAACAATTATGGCTGAGATTCTGGGTTAAGCAGTGCTGACTTACAGAAGAATTCTATACAGTATATATATTCCAATGTTTTCCTTTCCTATAGTTGTCTGCAAAACTAAGTCTGTTATAAGGAACTGTGAGTTTGGAGATACTAACAATCTTTCTACTATGATCCAGAAAAAAACAATTAAAGTTACAATTAATTGAAGAATTTTTAAGCTGTTAGATCATTAAACTTCATTACAATTGATTAACAATTAATTGCTGTAATCGTTAAATTTTAACAAACACTTATTTTTGTCAACACGATTAAAATGGAATGATTAGAATATTGTGCAAGTTTCATAAATGTCTGTTAAAAAGTATATTATATTATGTTATTGCATTATTCTGGACATAATGTATAAGAAATTCAGAATAAACAATGTTTGCTAAAGATATTACATAAAAGGGGCATCACTCCTGTAAAAATAGCTGGATTGAAAAATAAGCATATGCGGTCAATTTCACAGTGTGTTGTTTATATCAATCTGTGCAGTTTTACAAAAATGGATGGAAGCTGTAGAAGGAATTAGATTTTTAAAAGGGACATTACTCCCTTAAAAATAATTGGTCAGAATGATTTCACAAAATATTAATGATTATGACTGACCATATTGATATCATATGATGAAAATATCCATGTACTAATGAAAGTAAAAAATATTGAACCGACGATATTTTGTATGATGCATGTACTACTAATTAATCATAACACTAATTAGCTGAGAATAACTTGTGTTAACATGCAGGTATCCTGAATGTAACACACACCTGTACACAGCTTCAGACAGTCTACGTTCGTAGGTGTATCAACCTGACAGACGAGGCAGTCATCGCTCTGTCCAAGTCCTGTCCACAACTCAGACTGCTCAACGTTGGGGGATGTCACCTCCTCACAGACAGGTCACTTTTGGCGCTCGGAGAAAACTCCCACTTCCTCAAAAGTGTTAACTTCTCCAAAACAAAGGTATACTGCATCAGATCTACATTAATATTCACCTGATTAGTTATTTTTGGTTTGAAGACAGTTCAAACATTCCCGGAAAAATTAACCTGGAGTTTGGATCAGTTAATAATTCAATGTTAATAATTTATAACAGGAAAGAGATTGGTGTACTTCCATCTCCAACCAGCAACCCCAAGCTTCCCAGTCTGCCACTCTACTGATTGAACTTAATGGAAATTCCCTCTAGAGCAATTTAGCTAGATGGCGATCATAATCTTATATATAATTAAAACCTGCCACAATTTATTAATTTCCTAGTGCTAGATTTGAAAAGATATAGGTATATGTCATTATGTGATCATTGTGGTATTGCATGTTTTTTTTTCTTTTCTTTTTCTTGACAATGATGTAGACTTTCTTGAGAATTGATAAATGATATTATAATACTGTTGCTAATACAAATATACTTCTTTGCTTATACATGTCTCGGTTAGAGAGTTTCACAATAAGACAAAACAGACTGCTGGCATTTCTTTTGTTTTCTTTCTCAGTACTAAACTAAAAATCTATAGTAGTATTAGTTAACCCTTTTTTGTTTTTATTAAATCAGTGTACTCATACAATATCATAGATAATCGATGATGACAAAAAAGGCAGAAGTATAATGAGTGTAAAATATATACCTTGGTAATTTGTTTTAATCAAGAGCAAGAGTATTCGAAAAGTAGATATTGTATATGTAGAAGTTTGTTTTAGTGGATAGTTGGCCAAGATGAACTATAAACAGATGAGCTGATATGAGATAATTTCCATCAACAGGTGACGGATAATGGTGTGGTTGGGCTAGTCAGTGGAAGCTGTGCCAAGACATTGAAGGTAATATAGCAAAATGTTAACTGCTTCAATTTTGTTAACTCATGCAGTGTTTTATTTATCTGTGAGTCTTGTGTCAGTTGCTCACATTTTTTTAAATTTGACTTGTTGAAATTGAAAATTCATTAAGTTTACATAGAATGACTCACTGCTTTTCAGAACTTGACCGAAACTCATCTGATTACTATATATATGTACTTGGTATGTGAAAAAGATGGACAAAAAACTTCACACTAAAATTAGTTCACCTGGCTTAGCATCCATTGTCTGTCCATCGTCCATCCTTGCTTCTCGTTGTATCCAACTTTTCCTACGTTAGACTACTAGTTCAGAAGAGCTGAATGGGTTTTGCTGTAACTTGTCATGGAACAGCCCTGGCCGAAATGAATTCAGTGTTGTGTAAGTTAAGGATGTATCTTTAAAAGACTACTCATTGAGTATGAGTGAAAGGATTTTAATCTTATTCAAACATGTACCACCCTTGGGAATTCAAACCAAAGTATAAATGAAGAGGAACAGAGGAGTGGGCCAAAAAGTGGGAATATGGGTTATGTAATTAACAAAAAAAAGAAAGAAAGGACTTTGACACATTGACTTTACATGAGGTGCACATAGACGTGTAATACTTGATCTACATAAACCTATTGATGTACTAAATCCACTATTGACTACACAGGAGGTGCACATGGATGGCTGTGTAAACCTTACAGATGAGGCTGTAGAAGGGGTGCTACAGTTCTGTCCACAGATCTCCATCCTTCTATTCCATGGCTGTCCCAAAATCACAGGTAAAATACAATCGGTTTTAACTTTTGAGCTCCATTTTCTGCTTGAATTACCTCCCTTTACACACAACTAAGACTACATATGATCGTCAGTTGAATTGCTACAATTGTTTTAAAAAAAAAAAAATTGTCCTATATTTGTACATACATGTATTACATTATGGGTTTCTGCATTTTATTTCAGATCAATCAAGAGAAGCATTAGAACAACTAACCATTGACAGAGCAGAACCGATGAAACAGGTCACATGGACTGTCTACTGACCATTAGAAATGAAAGCCTTAATTCATTCACCCCTAAAGACACATTTGAACTCTTCCAATTCAAAGGTTGGAATAGTCCTTTATGTAATTGCAAGGGTGAATGAGCTAAGTTATCTCAGCACATTTGGACAACAACAGACCAGTGGGATAGCTGGTCATTGGGTAGTAGTCAGCTTTACTGACAAGTGAAACAGCTAGGTGACCAATAGTGCCAAAAATTGAATCAACTTAAATGGAGTGACTTGTATCTCTGTACAATGCACCCGATGTAACTGGACTTGACATTAACCAATCTAATTAGAATCAGACCACTCAAGACTGCTTCCTTACCTACGCTGAGAGAGCCGTAGGTAAGAAAGCAGTCTTGAAAGACCTGATTTAGATTAATTAGATTGGACTTTAACTAGACACAGATCAAGTGTTTTTTTTAAGTATTGAACTGCTTTCAGTTGGCATTCATAGGCAATATGAATGCAAACTAGACAAAGGCAAATTCAATGAAGCGTGCTAACGCTTCATGTTGGATGTGCGTTTGTCCAGTTGGAATTCATTTTTCCTATGAACTCCAACTGAAAGCAGTTCAATGCTTATATTTACCATTTTTGGAATCTCTTCATCTCATAGAAAACTCAATTACATTTACTATTATTCAACATTTAATAAAAATAATGTATGTATCGTGTATGCTTGTTCAATGAATAGAACAGCCATCGCTTGGGAGGTTCAGTGGTATCCAACGTTACAATTATAACAATCGGTCCATGGCATTCATAGCCTATATGATTGCCAACTGAATTTGGTAGTGGCAATGCCATATGATGGTAAATATAGTATGATGGACTGTGCTGACATTTGGACTCAGGAGCCACATGAACCTTTATTTAATAATATCTGTGCTACGCAGTGAATATGTCCATGTAAAAGATTTTTTTGTCATATGCAACCAGATAAATTTATCTTTTCAATTGTGTAAATGTCAAAAGAGGTTCGGGATGATGTCATAATTAGACCAAAAGACATGACGTCATAGTTGACAATGATCAGAAACAGTTTTTTTCAATAAATTATTGGTTATAAAATGAACTTTATTTCTCATAAATATACTGACTCATCATAATTCTCATTATACTCAATATAAATCTCATTATACTTAACTAGACTAGATTTTTCCAGTATGTTGACATAATATTATTCTCATTATATTGAACCAATTTGAGATTTTTTTCCTTTGCAAAAATTTCCTTAGTGGGAAAGCATGTCTTAATTAAATGAGTATAATAAACTAAGAAAATTTCAACGTCTAGTTCAGTAGTTGGGTAATTCAGTTCCAATAGTTGGATTTTCTTGAGTAATTTATTTGTTCAGTAAAAGACACTTTAGTTAATCTCAGTTAAGGATGACCGGACAACATATCGACTGGACAGTGATTACAAGTTTTAACACACTTGGGCCCCTTTCCCGTATCTGGTTCAACCAGTTGAAACAGTTGAACCTGAAAGAAAGCGACAGGCACAGATCTGAACAGAGGCTGACTTCAGGAATATTCGGCATGTGTAGATTGATGAGTCCAGACATGCCTGACCAAAACTAAAATGCTGACTCTTGCTAGTTTGCGTTATTTCTTTATTAAACAATGTCTACCCAGATGCAGAATTGAAGATAATTATAGAATTAAGTTGACGCATGAAAGATGGACATATTATTTTTGATATATTGTTATTATTTCTCCAAAACTGCATTTTTAGCTCTGCCCTCAGTTTGGTCCAAGTGCGTTCTTTTAACTTGGAATGTTTCTACGCCACCTGAACCGTTTTAACCGGGATACCCGAATGCGACCTTATTTACAGTAAGTGTGTCATAACATTGTCCTCTAACTTTCAAGTGGACATTGCCAAGTTATCTTTTCCATGAAGTGAGCAGAGGATTGTTCATAGAACCAGTACCAGTTTATGGAAAATTCATCCTTATCATTCCACATGTTGATTGCTATAGCCATTTTATACAATGAATTTGATTAACATTCTGTTTTTTAACACTATACCTTTATTTTTTACCTCTGTATAGAACAAATGATCTAGTGGTTATGTGTCCAGTCTAACGGATGTAAAAATTCTCTTGGGGTACTACTCAAATTTATCCGTTATAACTGTCATACATATGTAATGTGTGGTCTTAAATTTTACTCCAAAGGGAGGTAACTTGAATGTGATACAGGGATTTGGAAAGTGCTACAATAGTTTTTGTATACTACACAACACAGTATACATATTTTCTGGAATGTTCTTCCACTAATGTGTTCATGATGATTTGACTTTGAAAAAGAACAATAAAATAATTGTCTGATTTAACTTGAAGTTTATATTTTATATATTTATTCATATACCATAAAAAGGTATTTTCTAAGTGTTTAAAACAATTTGGAGATAGTAAGATAATTTCCCGATTTGGAGAAAATGTTGATATTTTTACAGTCTGACTGTCAAGCTTAGTATTCCATTGATACATTACAGTTTAAACCAGGAAGTAGTATTTCATATTATACAACTGCAACAATAGCAGACACCATTAAAAAGATAGAACTAGTTGTTCCATACAGCTGTTAAACACCTAGTTTTACACGATGCTCTCATAAATCAAACACCGGTGTCATGGACTATATTGTAGTGGTAAACAGTAAAGCAATTTTATATTCAAGGGTAGTGTTGTTTATTCATGAGTTCTATTTACATATCAATAACCGAGATAACTGCATCTGCTGTCAATAATAGCTCATCACAACCCCAACATCAGTGATAACGGACTAGATTCTGGATAAAAACATTTTTATAGAAATGCAATATTGACAAGGAAAATCTCCAGGAGAATTTTATTCTTACTCAAAGATACAAAACTTTCCCGTCCAACAGTGGAAATGTTAACAGCAGCCATATCTTACCAATATAATGTTGATGATGAAAGAGTTAATATTTCCATAAAGTTTAATTACATTTTTTTTTTTTTTTAAATTTTATCAATTTTACCAGCAGAAATAAAAGAAGAGTTAAAATTACCACATATTGCTGTATACAGGAAACTTTCGCCTCGTCAAATATTCACCTTTAGTCGGTAAAATCTATGTTTGCAGAATGGTGATTTTGTCCTTCACATGTAATTTATATTGATAACACAAGGCATTGTTTTTTTATGTTTGATTTAATGTTTCATTGCAATGAGACCAACAAATAATGATAACAGATTAAACAATCACAACAAACAGGACGAGGCAGTCCGAACCATGGCAAGTTTGCATACTAAATTTTAAGTATTGACTTCACATGAGTTCCATAGGGATTTAGGCATTGTTATGTATTAAACCTAGTATTGTCTTCACTTGAGATCCATAGGGATATAGGCATAGTTATATATTAAACCTAGTATTGTCTTCACTTGAGATCCATAGGGATATAGGCATAGTTATATATTAAATCTAGGATTAACTTCACATGAGATCTGTATGGATAGGCTTAGTTATCTTTATTATCCCTTTCACCACTGTAGACCATAATGGACTTATCCAGATCAAGGTGTGGTAGAGTTTATTAAAGTTACATATGAGTGAAAAGGTTAAATCCAGTATTGACATCACATGAGGTCAATAGGGATATAGGCATAGTTATCTATTAAATCTAGTATTTACTTCACATGAGATCTCTATTGATCTGTATTTTATTTTAAATCTATAATTAAAGTATCACCAGTGATTCCAGGTATATTCTGTCAGTTTATAGTATACAGTAGTGTGTCCCAACACTTTTGTACTTAAACCAGGTCTATAAAATCTTATTTTTGTTAATTTTAACTCATTTCCTCTCTCATACAAAGACAACTATTATGTTGCAGGCAATTTTAGGAATTTAGAACAATTTATGAAATGTTGCAAAATAATAGAAACAAATATTATGACCGGTCGGGGCAGCAGTCAAGCTTCCGGTCTTAGAATCAAGAAGTCAGGTGTTCAAATCCTCGTAGTGGAGACATGTTTTCTTTTGAATTTTTTTTTTAGATTAATATGTTTCTTTTGTGGATTACTCTTTGCTATACATGGGCATGCAGCTCAAAGTCAGAAAAATTATGGAACAAACTGGAACTCTTCTTCATTGGAGATACAGAGAAGTGCTTGGACACTGTATCTTAACAATCTACTGGGCCACATCTGGACTTTATTTCATTATGAGCATTTTTTGTTACGACACACTTGATGTTGGAAGAGTTGATTGACAAGAAATTATTTAGATTTTTTGAAAATTGTATTTTAGAGAATTAAGCATATAAGAAATAATTGGTTGTACCTTGCCATGGGTTGAACAGCCAAGCCCAAAGGGTTTTAACAGACTAGTTCACAAAGACAGGCAATGTCATGAAGGAAGATGTTCTTATCACAGAAAGAGACAGTCCACAATGTCACGAAGGGACACTCAGGTATAATATACAAAATATAGGTTCATCTTAAATATATATACATATTCATATTTCTGATAGTTAAAATATAAATAAGGAAGTGAAGAATAAAATATGGTATGAATCGATAATAAAATGTTTTCACTAAAAATGCTAATAAGGATATTGCAACATCTGTATATATATATATATAATAATAAAAAAGTGATCTTCACAAAGTTCAAATTGTGTTCTATGTATCAAGGGACAATGTACCACTGCCAAAAACAGTAACTGTGTATTGGAAAGGATTTTCCAGACCTGACTATAGCTTTGATAAATGATTTCCTAAAAGGTAACAATACCCTGTTGGACTTTTATGAAAAAGAGAAAGGTAAAATAGATTAAATGAAATCAACAAAAGTGTACTTGAATGTAAAACTTCAGCGGTAGCAGGCCGAGATTCGAACCCTTGACCATCAGGTTGTGATACTGTCACTCTAACTGGCCGAGTTATTTGGTCAGCGGAAGTATTCAGGTCTAAAAGTGTTTCAGTTATATCCAAATCCAATTCTAGGGGAGATTACTCATAATCAAGACCACCATTTTAGACCTAAGATGATGATGGTGACCACTTAGCAAGGTAGCAAATATAATTTGATCGGAATCTGCCAGAAATGACAGCCGACTGAGAGCCGACTGTATCATTGAACCATTAAAGTGAAGCAACATTAAGGGGCTGGTCAATGATCATTGACTTAAGACAGAACTTCAGTTATTTAGGGTGAATATTTCTGAAAAAAATTCTTGGAACTCAACTTCTTGACCCTTGGTCAGTAGTACTTATTATGAACTATCAAAATATTGAAATTGTGAGAATACATGATCCTTCCTAATACTGCATTTTCTCATGAGAAAATATACTAAGAAACTACAAAGGACATATATGCCACGAAACAAGAATGGAAACATTGCTTAAGTATACCAATTAATACAGAATGCGCTTCTTTTACACCTGTAGAATCTAACAACTTGTATTAAATGATATTGG